TCCAATACTTATAATCACAAGAGCCCCTGTGGTTACACCGGGCCCACCCACCCAGGTAATCCAGGACAACCTTTCCATCTCAAGATACTTAACCCGATCACACCTGCAAAGTTCCCTTAGTCATGGACGGTAACAAATTCACAGTTTTGAGGCATTAGGATGTGGACAGTTTTTTTTTTGGGGGGGGGTCCATTATTCTACCTTCCGCAGTGTGTATAGGTATACACACATTTATTTCATTATCTATGTAAATATATTGGAAACCGTGTATTCACCTGGACACCTCCAATTCCAATCCACCAACTAGAGGGCTCATTCCAGGCTCGTCTGTTCCCGTATTTGTGATTCCCTTCACCAACAGTAAGAATCCTGGCTCCCACTGTCCTTACTAAGTTACTAATTCCTTTTCTTGCCTTTATATAACCAATTTCCTATTCCACGTTCCTCCTCTTACCCATGGAGGAATGTCCTCCCCCTCTGCCTGGACTCTGATACTTTACGCCTGGCTGCCCGCCCACAGGGCTGCCCTGCTCACCCGCCTCAGACTCCGCCACCGAAGCAGGCCGCCCCCTGCGGGAACACTGTCCTCGGCGGCTCAGGCTCTGACACCCCACCCTGAGCGGCCTCCTCCTGGACACCCTCCTTATCCAACTGGGGCCAGCTCTGAGCACCCCTTAGTGCTTTGTCCCACTTAATGGATTTAGGAGCAAATTGTTGAGAGAGGGAAGAGAAGGGAAAGAAAAGCCCAAATGACCTAGTCTTAGGAGGGAGGGGGCACTGAAACCTCGACCCAAACAAGGGTGGCCAGTGTGGCACGCTGCAGGGGAGGAGGGGTAAGGGGGAGAACACGGCTGAGGGCTTGGACTGGCAGGAAATGCTCCTGGCCGCAACTGGCCCCTGTTCTGGGGCCTGTTTGCGTATTTGAGGAGGCGACTGATATTTTTCTGGGCTGAGAATGCTGCCACCAGCCTGGAGCCTCATCAAACCACTTTTTATTAAAAAACCACTCTTTGGCTCCTGATGTTTTTTATGTTGATTAAGAACACTGACTTGGCTAAATGAACAAGAGAGCTGATTGTTGCTCTGTCTCTTGAAGCAGAAGAGGCTTTTGATCAAGTTGAGTGGGAGTTTATGTTTGAGGTACTTTGAAAAATGAAATTTGGAGATAAGCTTATGAACTGAATTTGAACTTCATTCCAACCTCATTGAACAGAAATGTTTTAGATCCTTTTAATCTGGAAAAAGCCTATTGAAATTGCCCTTTTAATACCTCATTTTTCTTTAAGATAAAGCTCCTCAAATTGCTAGTTGTATATCTACCTACTGAGAAGGGCACTTCAAAAATAGACTAAAGTTTAAAGGTGTTTGGATTCCTTTCTTTTGAGGGGATGGCAGCTTGCTGTGGGTGTTTTCTCTCTTTAGCCTGGCACCCAGAGCAGGGACGCCCTCTGGCAGTGACTAGGGTGGACCAGTTTCTTGGTGGTAATCTGGGGTTGTGCTTGGCTTCACAGTGCAGGGGAGCAGTGGCTTGTGGGTTCTAATCTCCGCTGGCTTCTGGGTGACTTTAGGCAAGTCATTTGATTTCCACATGTTTGGTCTGCCCTATCCACCATATGGAGCTAATGATACCCCCCACTTATCTCATAGGGATGTTACATCAAGGCTAGTTAATGCACAGGGCAGGCAAACATTGCATATGTGCGATGAGCTAAGAAAACTGAGATCATAAGCCCAGCGACTCTTCAAATCAGAGGTGATCTTTCCTTTCAGGAATGAAGTACATTTATGGTACTAGTATTTTTTGGCCATTTCTCTGCTTGTCTTATTAATTCAACTCATGCTATTATTAATTATATACATAATAATATGCTTGGTTTGATATAGATGAAGTCATCCTTTTCACTATTTTTTTGTGCACTTCCCATGTGCCTGGACTCTCTGTATTAGAATTAAAAACCCATGTAAAAACTGAATTATGGGAAGGTCAGAAAATGTTAAATATTTATGAGCAAAATCATGTTTATATTCTACTGTTAACTCTGATGATTTATTTGTTTGAACAAGGCATCTCTTTTTATCATAAAACTTATCTAAGAGGAGCTGAGCTTCAGTTTCCTAAGTATTTGTGAAAGACAGTTTTGTATTTAAAAGGAAGTCTCCCCAGTAGCCAATTTTTCATAGCAGGACAGTTTTCCTAAAGACATGGTGTTCCACTTAATTAATTTCCATGTAGCTGTTCCCTGCTAAAAGGGTCATTAACCTAAATTAGGCCTGCCCGTCTGCAGTGGCAAGCACATAGTAAAAACTAACACCATTGGTATAGCCTCAAAATAGGAAAGTTAAACCAGATTGTTCATGAACTGAAAACTAAATTCAAAGTGATTATTTCATCCTTCTGAAAAAACCTCTATGCCCACGTGGAAAGCTTTGTTTTCCCCATTACATCCCCTGCCCCATACAGAGGGTCATTGGCTTCAATGACATTACCTTTGAACAGGTAGCCACAGGAAAGCGTTGCTCTTTTTTATCAAGCACAGCTGACATCTAGAGAGAAAAATAAAAAACAGAAAATAGTAAGACACAGAGTGGGAAATCAGGGCTTGGCAACTTTGTTTGCAGTTGTTGCCTTTGGCTCTGAGTAGGACTTCTGGTTGGCTGCTGAAGGAAAACTTTTGGACTATTTTCCACAGACAGAACAGGCCACATGAAGTTTCTATTATCACTTCCATCTTGGCTGGTGCTAGTGCCCAGAACGGGTGGCTTTCTGTCCCTCACCGTTCAGCGCGTCATACTGAGTGTAGCTTTCATACTTGGGGGCCTCCCCCGCGCCTATCTCGGATCGTTACCTCTGAGGGGTGAGACCGGCCCCAGGATAGTCTTCCAAACAGCCGCTGTTTCTGGAGGAAGATCAAGCCCAACCCAATTTTTCTTTCCCAAAACTGTGTTACAATTAATTGTGTCAAAATTCACATCAATGAACTCTTAAGTCAGAAACTAGATGACATTTTATAGGACTGCAGCATTTAAGATTTCTGAGTATTTTTAACATGTATTCAAGAACCAGGAAGAATGTAATCAGTTCCCTTGGCAGCTCCCACGTGGCAAGCTTAGTCTGGTTCCACAAACCTTTTTCTCCTCCTTAGTTAAGGAGGAAGAATGGGGAAGTTCAAAGGATCTCCATGGAATTTCAACAGAATTCCATGAAGCTTCAAATGTTTGAAAGTAACAGTTTGTATATCTTTATATGTTGTAACCTTAGCACTGAACAACCCCGAGAGGCTGTGGTCTTTGCTTGTCGATGTTCGCATCCCTTGCCTCCTAAGCGGAAAGAAATATCCATCCATTGCTCTGGACTTTGGACCACGGAAAGGTCACTTTACGGTGTGCCAGAATGGTTGGGGTTGACTGATTTCTATTTTTATTAGAAATCCTGAACTTTAGAAAATGGAATTTTAGCCAGAGGGCAGCTTTGCTTTTGAAATGGAGTTTTGTTTCTTCTTGCTCAAGTCCCATTGCCTTGGGAGCCATTAAAAATGGAAGAAAAGAATGATGAGAAAAAGAACCTCTTTATACGGATTGGTTGATGGAATAATTGGGCTGAGAAAGAGCCAGGATTCTTGGGTGTTCCGACTTTGCCACTGATTCGCTTGTTCAGTGACCCGAGGCAATTCTCTCCATCGTCGCCCAACTCAGTTTCTCTCTGTAAAATCAGGAAGCCGACGTTATGCAGGTGGTGGGGCAAGAGGGTTGGTAGCATGGGCTCTGAGGTGGATTGCCTTGTCTGAATTCTAACCCTACCACTCCTAACTGTATGACTTGGGAAAGTTATTTGACACCTCTCTGTGCCTCAGTTTCCACATCTATAAAATGATGATAATAAGAGTACCTCCTTTTGAGGATTGTTGTGAGGAATACACGTCACGATATACATAAAATCCTTGGCATGTAGTACCCCATCAGCATTAATATGAGAGTTATTTTATTTATCTGGACCTAGTATGGGTATTATTATTATTGTTATTATTATAACCTAACTACAGATACGAGGCCCAAAGTAAGTACAAATAGTTTACCGGAATCTATTTTTCTAACCGAGTCACTTTATATAAGAGTCAATATCCACCATATGGAGCTAATGATACCCCCCACTTATCTCATAGGGATGTTACATCAAGGCTAGTTAATGCACAGGGCAGGCAAACATTGCATATGTGCGATGAGCTAAGAAAACTGAGATCATAAGCCCAGCGACTCTTCAAATCAGAGGTGATCTTTCCTTTCAGGAATGAAGTACATTTATGGTACTAGTATTTTTTGGCCATTTCTCTGCTTGTCTTATTAATTCAACTCATGCTATTATTAATTATATACATAATAATATGCTTGGTTTGATATAGATGAAGTCATCCGTTTCACTATTTTTTTGTGCACTTCCCATGTGCCTGGACTCTCTGTATTAGAATTAAAAACCCATGTAAAAACTGAATTATGGGAAGGTCAGAAAATGTTAAATATTTATGAGCAAAATCATGTTTATATTCTACTGTTAACTCTGATGATTTATTTGTTTGAACAAGGCATCTCTTTTTATCATAAAACTTATCTAAGAGGAGCTGAGCTTCAGTTTCCTAAGTATTTGTGAAAGACAGTTTTGTATTTAAAAGGAAGTCTCCCCAGTAGCCAATTTTTCATAGCAGGACAGTTTTCCTAAAGACATGGTGTTCCACTTAATTAATTTCCATGTAGCTGTTCCCTGCTAAAAGGGTCATTAACCTAAATTAGGCCTGCCCGTCTGCAGTGGCAAGCACATAGTAAAAACTAACACCATTGGTATAGCCTCAAAATAGGAAAGTTAAACCAGATTGTTCATGAACTGAAAACTAAATTCAAAGTGATTATTTCATCCTTCTGAAAAAACCTCTATGCCCACGTGGAAAGCTTTGTTTTCCCCATTACATCCCCTGCCCCATACAGAGGGTCATTGGCTTCAATGACATTACCTTTGAACAGGTAGCCACAGGAAAGCGTTGCTCTTTTTTATCAAGCACAGCTGACATCTAGAGAGAAAAATAAAAAACAGAAAATAGTAAGACACAGAGTGGGAAATCAGGGCTTGGCAACTTTGTTTCCAGTTGTTGCCTTTGGCTCTGAGTAGGACTTCTGGTTGGCTGCTGAAGGAAAACTTTTGGACTATTTTCCACAGACAGAACAGGCCACATGAAGTTTCTATTATCACTTCCATCTTGGCTGGTGCTAGTGCCCAGAACGGGTGGCTTTCTGTCCCTCACCGTTCAGCGCGTCATACTGAGTGTAGCTTTCATACTTGGGGGCCTCCCCCGCGCCTATGTCGGATCGTTACCTCTGAGGGGTGAGACCGGCCCCAGGATAGTCTTCCAAACAGCCGCTGTTTCTGGAGGAAGATCAAGCCCAACCCAATTTTTCTTTCCCAAAACTGTGTTACAATTAATTGTGTCAAAATTCACATCAATGAACTCTTAAGTCAGAAACTAGATGACATTTTATAGGACTGCAGCATTTAAGATTTCTGAGTATTTTTAACATGTATTCAAGAACCAGGAAGAATGTAATCAGTTCCCCTGGCAGCTCCCACGTGGCAAGCTTAGTCTGGTTCCACAAACCTTTTTCTCCTCCTTAGTTAAGAAGGAAGAATGGGGAAGTTCAAAGGATCTCCATGGAATTTCAACAGAATTCCATGAAGCTTCAAATGTTTGAAAGTAACAGTTTGTATATCTTTATATGTTGTAACCTTAGCACTGAACAACCCCGAGAGGCTGTGGTCTTTGCTTGTTGATGTCCGCATCCCTTGCCTCCTAAGCGGAAAGAAATATCCATCCATTGCTCTGGACTTTGGACCACGGAAAGGTCACTTTACGGTGTGCCAGAATGGTTGGGGTTGACTGATTTCTATTTTTATTAGAAATCCTGAACTTTAGAAAATGGAATTTTAGCCAGAGGGCAGCTTTGCTTTTGAAATGGAGTTTTGTTTCTTCTTGCTCAAGTCCCATTGCCTTGGGAGCCATTAAAAATGGAAGAAAAGAATGATGAGAAAAAGAACCTCTTTATACGGATTGGTTGATGGAATAATTGGGCTGAGAAAGAGCCAGGATTCTTGGGTGTTCCGACTTTGCCACTGATTCGCTTGTTCAGTGACCCGAGGCAATTCTCTCCATCGTCGCCCAACTCAGTTTCTCTCTGTAAAATCAGGAAGCCGACGTTATGCAGGTGGTGGGGCAAGAGGGTTGGTAGCATGGGCTCTGAGGTGGATTGCCTTGTCTGAATTCTAACCCTACCACTCCTAACTGTATGACTTGGGGAAGTTATTTGACACCTCTCTGTGCCTCAGTTTCCACATCTATAAAATGATGATAGTAAGAGTACCTCCTTTTGAGGATTGTTGTGAGGAATACACGTCACGATATACATAAAATCCTTGGCATGTAGTACCCCATCAGCATTAATATGAGAGTTATTTTATTTATCTGGACCTAGTATGGGTATTATTATTATTGTTATTATTATAACCTAACTACAGATACGAGGCCCAAAGTAAGTACAAATAGTTTACCGGAATCTATTTTTCTAACCGAGTCACTTTATATAAGAGTCAAGATTTCAAGAGTTTTTGCAAATGTGGATTCAGTGAGGATATTTCACAACTATTTAAGGAGCAAGCCGAGTGATGCCGGGTCAAGGAGAAGAGTGGGAGGCCGCTGCCTCTATTACCATGTCGAGGGCTAAGTCCGGGCATTTGCAACATCTCCAGCAACATCCTCCTAACAATTACTTTAGGTGCCATTTGGATTTTACAAACATCAGTTACTTGGTTGAGGTGTGTACCATGTCACTCCCTGGGAGCTGGGTTAATTGAGTTACAAATAAACAAATGTTTAGAGATGGTGCACCCCAAAACATTCACTTACCGAAAATGGAAAACCAAAGCTATGGAGATAAGCAAGAGGCCAGGGGAAACCTAGGTCTCATTTTGCTCCCATTTTTCCTGAGCTGACCCTTCTCCGTCTATTCAGGCTGATTTTCTGCTTCTCCTCAACATACGCTGTTTCCTCTCTTCAGCTCTGCCTCCCTGGGTTGCATGGCCATCCCGCACTCAGACTTTTACTCATGTCGGTTCTCTCGGGAAGCTTCCCTTTCTCATTCTCTTATCCATATTGCACTCATTCTTAAGACCTATTGCACAAGCTGTCCTTTCCAAACATCTCTCCCTGACTCTGCTGCTTTCATGATTTCTCTCAGCAGCTAGGAGAATTATATAGCCAAAAATATGAGTTCTCTCTCTTTACTATAGCCATAGCACCATGCTGCTGTGACTGATTAATACATTCTTTATGTCCCTCAGTGCACATTTACTGAATATCTGTGATGTGACATATCTGTGCTAGCAGCCAAAGGTTGTGAGTGGATATTATTCCCATTTCATAGATTTTTAAAACATGAGATTTTAAGATGTCATTTGCTCAAGGCCCTGCAACTCGTAACTGACAAGGATGGAATTTGAATTTGAGTCTGTTCTTTTTCTACCGTTCTGTGGAGAATCTCATGCTGATGTGAACAAGTCATGGTGAGTAGGTGGGAGGACTGGGAAGGTCTTCATAGAAGTTCTGGAGAGGAGCTTGACAGAGGAATCAGAATGGGTTTGTAGGGTAGGTGGGAGGAATTTTCAGGGCCAAGGATCACAGGAATGGCAGACCAAATGGAATGCTCATGGAAGAACAGGAGGGAAATGGGGCCTCAGAGGTGGGCAAGGGCCACAGCTCCCTGACCTGTCTTGTGGGGAGACTTGTCGCAGCCTGGCCTGAGTGCTGGCCGGAGACCTGCTGCCAGGGTGAGGGCTCCCTAGACAGCAAAGTGAGAGATCTAAAGGGTGAATTAAGGCTTTGCCCTTAGCTGAGGAGAAGGCCAAACTGAGTTGCTCCTTCAGTCACTGAATGCGGGCACTGAGAGTGGGGCCAGAACTGGCAACAAGGCTGAGTTTCGGCAAGCAGGTGGGTACTGGAATGCAGGAGGGTCAAGACTAACTGTGGCGGCAGAGCTGGGCCCAAGCACATCGGATGAATTGAGCTGGTGGGCTGAGGCTTGTCTGAAACAGCTACAAGGGGCAATAGCAGACCTTTGTGGCGCACTAGAACAGGATCTGGAAGGAGAAGATAATGAAGGGCCTTATTTGATCCTATTAAGGGGCAGGGTCTTTAAAAAGATCTCTCATCCCTCTGACCTCAGAATAAGTTGTCAAGAGTGGGAGACAGTGGAGGTAGGGAGCTGGACTGTTGGTGGCAGAATCATGAAGGGCCTCTGTAGAGCTGATTCACTGGGTGCAGCAGAGATATGGGTAGAATGTTCTACCACCCAAATGTCTCGGTTGCTATGGAGTTAAATGTGTCTAGGAGTGCTGCACTGGGTTCTCTGGAAGTCCCATGTTGTCTGTGGGAGGGCTTCGGCATGGAGGCTGGGGGATATTTTGGAGCCTTGTGATTCCCTTCCTTCCATAAACATTTATCTGTTCATTCACTGACTAATTGTCTGCTGAGCACATAACACTTGCTAGGTACCCCTTTGGGCACTGGGAAGAGTAGGGCCCAAGGCACCAACATCCCTGTACACATGGAGATTTATTATAGTGAAGGACAAACATTGAAAAAATAAACACATGAATTAAGATGTAATTTGGAAAGCAAGGGCTGTGAAAGAGATGATAGAAAGCTCTGATTCAGATTAAGATGAATGGAGAGACCTCTCTGAGGAACTATATTTAAGCTGAGGTCTGATGGATGAGCACGAGTTAACCAGGCAAAGCACAAGGAAACCGTGCTCCAGGCCAGGAGAATAGTGTATACGAAATCTTTGACGTAGGAGAGAACTTGCAGCTTCAAGAGAAATCAGCAAAGCCAGTATGTTTTTGGGATTCAGTTGAGCCAAGAAGCAGGTTAGGGATTTCAAATTTTACCTGCTGTTCAAAGGGAGGAAGGGCAGCTATTAAGAGTTAAACAGGAGAATGACACAATGAATGGATGTTTTAGCTCTGACTGCTGTGCGGAGAGTGGATTGGAGAGGTGAAAGTGGGACGACCAGTTCAGAGGCTACTGCAGAAGTCCAGGCAAGATATAACATCCAGAAAGAGAAGTGGCAGGACAGTGAAGAGATGGCAGTAGATGTGGGGTATCCAGTAATTTCAAGGTAGAATCACCAGGACTTCATGACATCCTATCATCTCTGAAAATGACTTGAAAATGACATGAAATGTGAGGAGAATCTATAACTTTAAACTTTGTTTTGATGCCAAAGTTTCAATAAAGATGCTGAAGATGCTCATAATTCTTGCCAACATCTACCAAGAAAGAAAGCAAATTATATGTGTTCTCTTGCTGATCCCAGCAAGTTTGTGCATTAAGTTGTAAGCAGTCAAATCTGGAGGAGGTTTGTGCTTTACTAATGTTCTTTCAGTTTCGGTCATTAGTCTTTTGTCAGTTCCAGTTATACTTGTTTGTATATAAAACCGCAGGCTGGATTAATTTCACTAGATATGTGTCTCCTTGGTGTGAGGGTCACAAAGGGACAGTGGGGATGTTATGTGAGCTGATATCAAGACAACACACAGCACCAACATCCCACCAACAGCCCAGAAAGAGGCTGCCCAGGGTTGCCTGAAGTTTCATGAATCTGCCTGTGTTTTGAGAAGAGCATCTCCTTAGAAAAAAATACTCTTTCTTTCTGGCAAAGTAGGTTGCTGGTATTTATTTGAAAATTTAGCTAGTAATAACATAAAAATACAATGCTTTAGATGACCTTAGATTTCAAAGGGTCTGAAAGTAAGGATATAAATGAGAGATCTATAAAGAATTTCAACTTGTTAAATATGAACAGAGAAGCCGCATGGGTGAAGTCATTTTTTAAAAATATATGTTGGGTTGAGGCTATATTTTTGAATAGAAAAAACAGAAAGAAACAACAAACCCCGCCCCCCCTTTTTTTCTTTCTAGTCACCTCTCCCCAACCCACCCACAATCCAGGAAAACATTTCAAAAGGAAGAACTGCAGGGCAACCCTGCCTTCTCTGTATCCTCCTGATGCTCCCTTCCTCCTTTACACTCTCAAAGATTCAGTGTCTTCAAAATGAAGGCACTGCTAGAGGAGCAGTCCGGTGGGGGCCTCTCTGGATAGGCCGTATGGGGTCACATTTCACAGTCTCCTCATTCAGAGCATTGGGATGGCAGCAAAGGGAAGTTCACAAGAATTCTAAAAATCCAGGAAAGTTAAGTATCTCTGCCTTGTCCTTTTGAGACTGGAGTCAGGGATCTGGAACTAGGACACAGGTGCAAACACATCAGAATGAGGAACAGGACCCTGGAGAATATTTAATGTCCCTACAAGACAGGCAGGATCTGGGTTTTGCAGTCTCTTTCCCAAGGGCTCCAAATAGAAAAGGAGAGAAGAGAGACTGAAGGAGGAAAATGGGAGATGGGGCCGAGGAGAAGCAAGCAACATCAATTCACAGCTGCGGTGTATCCGTTTTTCTCGGTCTCCAGCGGTCTGAGTGGTTCTAACTACCTGATGGAGGAGGTAAGCCAGCCTTGCCCTGGGTATCTTTTCTTTAGCTAGAAAACAATGTGCCTGCTATAACTGCTAACAAATAATGGAGAGCTTAGTTGAACTAACATTAAGAGATAATTTACTGTTAGTGAACCATTCAGGGGTCTTCCATTCACTTCTAAGAAAAAAGCCTTTTCTTATTCAGTGTGGTATAATAAAAGGAGACTCTAGTCTTTCTTGTTAGAAAAATCTTGATTTAGGTTTATCAGTGTGTGATCTTGAACAAGGTCCTGTTCGAATATAAATTCCATTAGCTTGGGTTCATGATAAACCAGCATGTAGTAGGTACTCAATAAGTACTTGCTAACTGAAGGAAGTCATCTGTATTTCTGAACCTTGGTTTCCTCCTATTAACGAGGAAAGTGGAATACCTCACAGAGCTTGTAAAATGCCTGGCCGGAGAAGACAGTCAGGCTAGAGAACCTTGGAATAACTTCAGTTGCACTGTTGCCTCCAGGCACGATTTTTTCCTGTTTCTCTCTCTCTCTCTCTAATTTTAAATTTTGGCTTGCTCTTACCAGTTTGCTCATGAAACCCTTTATCCCTCTCTCCTTGTACAACTTTCAGATAGATTTTAGCTCTGTTAGAGAGTGCAGGCAATCTTTCACCAAAAACTATCAACCAGAAAGCAGAAGCCTGCCATATATGCTGCCGTCAGGCACCTTCTTAATGACGTGCTCGAAGACTATTTACATATAAATATAGTAAGTTGTTCTTTGGGGACTTTTAGCCATCTAAGCAAATGCTTTGAACAAATAGGATCCTTCATTTAAGTTCTTTTATCTCCATGTCTGCCTCTACTTACAGTTTCTGTTTTCTGGCCACTCTAAGTTGCTCTCAGTTCTTGAATAAACTACATTCTTTCTGGGCCTCTGCCTTCACATGTCTGCTTCCTCTGTTGAGACTTCCCATTACTCCATCTGGTCTTTTAGGTCTCATTTTAAATGTCACATCCTCAAAAATGCCTTTTCTAATCTTGCAGAGTAGCTCAGGTCTCTTATATGTTCCCATATCTGTGCTTCCTGTCATCACACCTGTTACTAATTAATGGCTCTTTCCCACTTTACTTTGAGCCTCATAATGGCAGAATCCGCTTCGTTCACCATCAGCTCAGTGTCTGGCACAAAGTAAACACTTGAGAATTTTTCTTAAATTGAAAGTGAACAAATGAAACTAATGCCTCAAAAAGATTTCAACACCAGAAGGGATCTCAAAGGTATAGTGATCATATTTTCTCAAACAAGTGGCAAAAATTATGTCTGGTAACAGATTTCGGTTTTGATTTGTTAAACTGTGTATACAAAAAATGTAATGAAACTACAAATTAAAGAATCTTCCATTGTGTATTAATAATTTGCTTTTATAAAAAATAGTAAAATTACTTGACATTATGATGATCAAGAAATATGTAGTATGAATGCCTCTTCCACCTAAAGTAATCTAGAGTTCAGTAAAATAAAAGCTTATGTAGTGGGTTAATGTTTTTGAAATACTGAGACATTTTTCATTCTGGTAATTCCTAATTGTTCCATGTTGCCTCAGAGCCCTTGATTCTAGAGCTAGACAGTCTCAAATCCAGTTTCCACCATTTAGCTCTTACTGATGGTAGGCAAGTTACTTAACCTCTCTATGCTACACTTTCTTTGTCTGTGACTGGGATAATAATACTCTCTGTTTAATAGGATAATTTCGAAGATTAACTGAGGTAATACATGTAAAGTTATTAGAATATGCTTGGCACTGGCTCAAATAGATGTTATATTATTTTTACTATTGCTATCATCATCATCCAGAGAGCAGGCGCAGCTGAAAACAAAGTAGTCACTGCTTAGCACTGCATTTTAAAACACTTAAAAAAAATCTATAATTGATTGCCATTAGCAAAAATGGAGAGAAAGGACCTCAGAAAGTTCTTTGAAAGCAGCAAGAAAACTGGCAAGAGATGGAATCAACTTTTTTTGAAACTCTGGAAATGAATCAAAGGCTTGCAGCACTCCAGGGAGAATTTATTCAAGAAAGCAGCTGAAACTCAACAAGAACACTGAGGTTTATGGCATTTTAACTTGCTCCATTCCCATACCCCTCTCTGCAGCTCCATGATAGCCTGCAAACCAATGGACCACAGGCAGGTGAAAGCCAGGGGTATAGTAACCACTGGAGAAGGTAGAATAGAGTTGTGGCCCCTTCAAAGACTCATTCCCAGAGGACAGTCATTATCTGACCTTTAGAGAACTTTAACTTGGATCTCACCCACTGCCATTGCAAAGGCCTTTTCCCCTAGGAAAGGGTGTTTGTTGAAAACATTTAGAGGCAATTGTTTAACTTTGTGACTGTCTGAGGTGGTGGATAACAGTTAGGACAAACAATAGGCTAACCAAAAAGCTTAAAAGGAAAAACTAAGGGATGAGATATTTACAGGGTTTTTGATAAGCTCTGACATATTCCTGGGAGTTTAGAAGGCCACGTGCATGTGTAGGGCTCTGTGCATGCCAAGACTTGTGTATATGTCTAGGAAAAACATGAGAAAGTCTTACTCTCACCTCTGACTGACCTTGAGGCTTCAAAGAAATTGAGGGCTGAGAGAAAGCTGTCAACTGTCTGGCTAAATAATGAACATATGTTCCAATACACACACAGCACCCTTCAGCAAAGACTGAGAACTTATTGATTCCAGATATTTAAGGTCCCAGATATTCAATCACTAGCTGAGCACTGAGCTAAGCAATCAGGGACTTCAGCAGCCACACATGAAAATAATATAGGCTTTTCAAAATTAGTTCAGAAAAGCCACCAAATAAACAACAGCAAGTAGCAATGACAACAAACCCTGAGAAGGGGACAGAATTTGATTTCCAGATATTATATTATTTTAAATGTCTAGTTTTCAACAAAAATTCAAGATTTCAAAGAAAAAAAGAAAGTATGGCCCATATATAGAAAAAAGTCAACAGAAACGAAGAAGCTCAGACTTATCAGATAAAGACTTTGTCAGCGCTTTACAATACATGCAGAGAACAATTGGGAATCATGTCTACAGAACAAAAGGAAGGTAGGAGAATATCTCACCAAGTAGAGAATCAATAAAGAGATAGAAATTATAAAAAAGAACCAAATAGAAATTCTGGATTTTAAAAGTATAATAACTAAAATGAAAAATTTTTTGAGGGATTCAACAATAGACAGTAGCAGGTAGAAGAAAGAATCGGCAAACTTGGAAATAAATCAATTGAAATTATTCAGTTTGAGGAATAGAAAGAGAAAAAAATGAGGAAAAATGAGCAGTACATCAGAGCCCTGTGGGACACCGTCAACCATGCATATGTATAATGGGAGTCCCAGGAGAGAAGAAAAGGAAGAGAGAAAAAGGGGCAGAAAGAATATTTGGTGAAATCTTTGAAAATTCTAAATTTAATGTAAAGTCTATAACAGATTTGATAACAGTGAATTAAAGAGCTTTAGGTTGTAGGAGTCAGGGATTGAGGGGAAGGAAATCCCCCCTCCATTTTAATTTAAGGCATACCATTTGCACATGGTATAAGAAAACATGCATAATGATCTCAGATGTTTTGAGTGAGACAGAGAGGAGATAGGACCCCTTTCGGGGCAGCTGGAGGAGCTCAGAGTGTTTGAGGAGGAGAATTAGAGTTGAGATGTTAGTGTGGGGCTTTGCACTTTGCACCCTTTCTCTCTCAAGATGAAAATTCTGGTTGCACGTAGATGGAAATCTCAGATAAGTCTAAGGATTCCTCAGTGCATCTGGAGCTCTGGGAAGTGTGCTCTGGGCCAATTGGTGGGTTGCAAAAGAAAGGGAAGCAAAGTACATTTAGATGGAGAGGGTGTAAAAGAATTGATTTGCTTACCCTCTCCCTCTCTATGTCCCAAGGTTCATGGGGCTGGAAAAGATCTAAAAATCATTTTGCATGTCTTAGTGAGACCCTAAATGAAGTTCATAACTGAGGGTTGATATATCTGCCAAAGAGTCACCATGGTGTGAAACAAGGGGACCTAGAGTAGAGGTCATGGGAGAACAGCTCATTAAGGGATGGAATGAAAGATGGGACCAAGTGGCAGAGGATCTGCAGTGCCATTGAGAGCCAGTGTGGAAAAGACCACCACACCCCCAGGCTTTCCTAGAGCACCAAAGTGGCTAAGAGAACAGATTACTTCAGCCTGATCACAGTGGAAACAGAGGCTGCTGCCCAAGACTTGGTGAGACAAGCTACATCTCAGGAAGACCAGTGAGGACAGAGATGACACATGGGCCAATGTCTTTCTCTGGTGCTAGAATGATATGCAATCTCCCCTTCCTCCCCCACTGGAATGTAGATTATTCTGGGAAGAAGAGGAGAAGGAAAATGGAAAAGAATGGAAAGTTAAGGAGACTACATTTTAAGATGAAAGTACTTAAGTTTCTAGAATTGGAGCAATTAAGTGTTCTGTTGCTTCAGGAGATTGGATCTTGAGAGCTAAATTTAATTTCAGCTGTAGACAAAGAAAATAATACCCTTACACATCTGGACTCTTCTTGTGCAGATGTTATTACCACTATACCTATTTAGATCACTCTTCATTTAATCCAAAATTACACATCTTTTGCATTATATATGCATTTAATTGTGTAAATTAAATACTCTGTAAAAATTAAAAAGAGAGAGAAATGTTCTTAAGTGCAGGAGAGTCCATCCACTATTCCACTCAGTGAGCGTATGTCCCTGAGTGAATGAGCTGAGACATGCGAAGAAGCCATTCCCAAGCTCTGCTCAATACCCAAGGGCTTCTCATAGAATGAAAATCTTACCATGATTCTATTGCTGAAGATACTTAACTTTTACAACCCCAAATGTATGTCAGTTATTTCATCTGGTACTCAACTCAAGAGACAACAATCTGTTCCAACAATGGAGCAAAGACTGTCTCTGTGGAATTTACTGAGAGCACGTAATGGTCCTTCCACAGCAAGCCTTCCAAAGGGATTGTCAAGGGGAATTCGCCTATATGAGCTTTTCTCTATATGTGCTACCATTTGAACTTAACCTTAAAGTAAGACTTCATTGTACATCCAAATTTTTGTCTGAACATCCAGAGAGTGGCTCTCAAAATGCTGCTTTTAAACAGCGTACAGTGGCTTTATGTTGGTAGGTTAATTTTTCTTTAATAACTTCCCAGGCCAAGTTACATTAATGTTTATCTTTCTCAAAATATTGCGGTGATCACCCTGAATTAAGTTCAAATGTGAGAGTTTAATATCGTCTCGTAACAATGTACTAATGTTAGAGGAAAAAGACTGCCTTGTGGATTTAGTTTCATATATACTGGGGTCTCTCAAAGATGAACAAACATTTGGAAGCCAACTGGAATTTGATGCTGAGATAAAGCATTCAGCTACCTAACCACAGTTGCCAAGGCCTTGGGAAATGATCCGACAACGGGGCCATTGCAAGTGGGGCCCTGTATTTAAGTCTAAAATGACTCTAGAATATATCTAGACCCACAGAATTACCAAGCTACCAACTTTACATTTATCTATCTGTTCAGGATGGGAAAAATTTTCTCACATCATTTACTGATTTTCTGCTCTGTATTGGTCAAAGAGTAAAAAAGGGGAATCCAGCACTGACTTCTTTCTGGCTGTTTAGGAAGTCTGTTCAAAATGGGATTTTTGTCTTTTAAAAAGTAAATACATGTACCTGAGATGATAACATTTTAGGTATACTGGGTAAAATGAAATGTTAACATTAAAAAAAAGTAAATACCTGTGTATAGTTTTAAAAGTATGATAATTTTTACTGGATTCCATCTCTCTGCATCTCCTAATTCTCTTTTTTAAGAGGCAGAAACTTTCAAACACCTTCAGAAATAGCTAAAAGAAGCTGGCAACTTTCTGGTATTTATTTCTAAATAATACATCGCTATTAGTTTTTTCAGTTTCAGATCATATCTATAAACTTCTTTGCAAGATGAGAAGTTAGCTTTCTTTCCACCTATTCTACCCCAGTGCACACATGGGACCTACAGAGAGCATGGTTGTGAAGAGGTCACCAGACAGGAGCTGCGGCCAAAGGTCAAAGAACATAGCTGCCGCTAAATGCCACGGGTTGGTGGCATGGATGAGGGTGAAGGTGGAATCAGTATTTCAAGCTCTCCTGCCCTTTGATTTCTTGCTCTAGACAGTAATCGAGAGGGAGACATCTCCCTGCCTGGACCCAACTAGAAGCCCAGAGATGAAAGAGTCAGGCAGTCTACAGAGCTCAGTTGCCAGAAGCCAAGAATAATAGAGAGCAGAGGAAAGCTAGCACATACGATTTTTTTGTTTTCCCTGAAGTTAATAATTGCTTCACTTTTTTTGTTGCTGTTTGTTTGCTAAGTTTTCTATTCTACTATAGAAACAAAACAGATATTTTACCCTGATTCCAATAAGACTAAACACTTTTCACCCATTGACAATCTAAAAATAATAGGGTCCATCTGCTTCTAGTCCCCCAAATAAGACAACCTTGAATATTTCTCATAAACCTGGACTCCCTAACAAAAGCAATTTTATCCTTGGTTTTCACTATGTGGATGTCCAAGATAAATCATTATTTTTGTTTGTGAATCAGTTGATGATGTGAGAAAATTTTTCCCATCCTGAACAGATGGATGTAAAGTTGGTAGCTTGGTAATTCTGTGGGTTTTTTTCCTTTAAAGACTTATGTTTTTAATTTTGGGAGCCAGTTCTTTTGGGTCTGACATAAAATGTAACATTTGCTATAACATTTGTCTTTCAAATATCTCTGTCTCTAAGTCTTCCTTTGACTTTACCTATCAGTAATTCATCCAGAAACTTGCTGACAGAAATTAAAGTTACTCCTGTATTCTGTCAGTTTCTACCCTTGGATTCTGTCGGCCTCTGCCTCTGCAAGAAGTAAACAACCGTCTTTTGCCTGGGTAGAGAGAGTGATGTTTGGCTGCACAGGGAGGAGGGAATAATGGGGAGAGGGGTCAGATGTTCTAAATATTCCTTAAACAGACTATGCTGATTGTGTTTGCTGCCCTATCTCTCCACTTGCCTTTGGTAGTTCCTGGTATTTTCAATTTCTAAGGCAATCAGGGATGTTCATTGTCAACTCCTTCTGTGCCCTCTTAACAGTATAGAATTAAGTTTTTTCCACTTTGCTAAATCAGTTGCTACTTATCCATTTGTATTTTAGCTTTCAGAATTTGTGATCTGGTGTCTGCTTTCATTTTCTCTCTCATTCTCTTTGTTCCAAGGGGCCTTTTATATATATATATATATATATATATATTTTTTTTTTTTAACATTCATTAAGTGAGATTTTAGCAGGAAGAAGAGCCAAATACATGTGTCCAATCAGATAACAGAACTATTTCATTGGGTCACAAAAAATGCTAAGTTCTAGGATTCAGCCTCTTTCTATAAAGAAGTATCTCTGGTGTGAATCACTTGGTCTTGGATTTATCAAACATAATAGTTTTCAATATTTCTTGTGCACACCTCCCATCCTTTTCCGCACCCCCCCCACCACTTTCTCTGCTACTGCTGTGTTGACTAGCTCCTTGCAGGTTTAGCTGAGCTGCATGCAGTTTTATTCTGACAGACAGTGTTTTATTTCAGCTTCTGGTTCCTGCCCTAGAACTTCTCTGATACTGAAGAGTGACCCACGGATTCTCTGGACACTCACGCGTGGGAAAACAGGAAGTCCAGGGAGTTAATATCCATGGGGTCATTCTTGACCGAGTGGGATGGTAGCCAATGAAAAAATGCTTCTTTCTTTTGTATTTGGCCAACAGTTCTGAGATGCTGTCTCGTCAGTGGGTTTCAGCCCCAGGTAAGTTCACTGTGGATTCAGTGAGACCAAAACATGATAATGGAACATTCTTGGGGTGAAAGGGGTTACATCCAGGTTTATTCTCATGGTGGCAGGTCAAGCACTATAATCCAGTCCACCCTGGGCAAGTCTGCATGCAGCAAGCCAGTCTCTGCTTCCGGGCCTCTCTTTTGCCTGCAGTTTTCTCAGTTTTTGTCTTCGGTGCTGCCACCATGCCAGCCTCTGCTCTCCTGCAGCCATGCAGCCCAGAGCACTGGGTGGAGCTCTTTTTAGAGAGTCAATAATAATGTACTACTCACTGTGTGCAGTGGTTAAGCCGACCAGGGTCAGGTGAGAATCCTGGTGATAGGAACTTACATTTTTTCTACAGATGCCTCTCAGGAGATTTTACTACTCCTGTTCCTCAATCCTCCTGTTCCTCAATCCTGGTCATTGGGATTGCTCCCCAAATAACATCTTGCACATAGACTCTGTTTTGGCTTCAACTCTCAGAGGGACCTAGGATAAGACATATGTATTAGAAATGACACTAGAAAGTAGCTCCTTATCATGAGATTATAGAGCTGGGTCACTCATCAGTGACATGGTAATAAGAACCCCATTCATTGCTAGTAGTGGGTGGAAGGTGATAAGCCACGGCATGTGATAGCATCACAATTACTGGGACTCATCCTTGGTGGACTGGGTTGAGGTACCAGGGGAGGGGGCAGCACTAAATTAAGTAGTGGCTATACACTTGAATGGTACAGGAAAATGATAATAAAGATTGTGGTGTTGTATAGCTTTTATGGATTGCTTTGGAGGTGTCAAGAAAAGAATAATATAGGTGTAGGTCAACGAACTATTAACTCAAGGCAGAAGGCCTCCATGGAATAATTTAAGGAGAGTTTATCTAATATAGTTGCAGGGAAGACTGTGCTAAAAATTAGGACCAGAACGTAATTATAAGGGAGTCAAAATTACAAAGGAGACTGAATGTGCAGCTCTGGTAGGTCTCCTATGTCAAAGTCAGGATACTGATAGGAAACAAGTGTGACTCTGCGATCTCAGAGAGGTGAACAAGCTTGATAATCTTGACTCTTTCAAACCCTCTTAAACTTCTGGGTTAGCAAGAAAAAAAAAGTTCCATTCTTCTTGCTGAGGAGAGGAGTCTTCACTTACTTGGAGACATACATTTGCCTTATCTGAGGCAGGGGCCTCCGTTCTCATCAAGATCTAATCCTGGAGGCCAGTAATGAGGGTTATGTGTTAGGACAGCCCAAACAGGGAAGCACAATCCTTGTTCCAGGAGAAAACAGTTTATGCACTGGGAAAATTGCTGGACCTGATTAACATGTATGAGCAGGAAATGGGGGAACACAGGAAGGAGTAAATCTTGAGGGAATCAGACCATGGAGAGAAGAACAGACATCTAGATAGGAGAAAGTTTACTGGGATTATAAGCATGGGATTTCAATGTTCTATGAAGGATCCATAAATCTGTCTAACTAGTCTGAACCAAGGTTAGATATCACAGTGACAAAAAGTAAATGAGGTGAAGACACTGAACTGCGTTGGCATGATACTGGGGAATGGATCAGAAGCTTGGGAAGACTTGGGAAATCCATCACCTGATTATGTTGTCCAGAGGGTCCTGTGAAGACTCCTTTGTTAAGGTAATAGGGAATTCACTGGGAACAGTTTCTAATTTTAAGACACTCAGTGATCATCATCCTTGTAGGACATATTGCCATGTAATTGTATCTTATAATATCAGTGGGGATGACGGTATTCCAGAATGGGGGAGGCCAGATGGTATACTTGACTGTGAGAGGAAAAAGGGCATTTAATTATCATAGTAGAGCAAGACCAGAGTGGCAATCAGTGTGCCTTGACCTGAAGATATCTCTGGTGATAGCCTAATAGATCATGGTATTCTTAAGAGTTGACAGAGTTAGAAAGTTGATTAAGATGTCATTCAACTTGCTAATATAAAAAAGAATTGAGAGCTGATAAAGCAAAGGCTGATAAAGCAAAGGCTAATTTTAGTCACTGCAAGAGAAAATTATGTTTCCAGATATAAGTCAATTCACATATCCAGATTGCTTTGTTTGAAGGGGAGGCCAGGTCCTTTTGAGGAAGGCTCTTACAATGCAGTATAGGTAAATATTTCTCTCTTTCCTCCCCTGGAGGGACCTGTAGATATTTGCTAGGGTAACTCTATATTTGGAAAAAATGGAATACTTAGAGCCAATGAATTTTAGATATGGGATCCCAGTTAACAATGATACCCAGACACTGTCATGGACCTCCAGAAAGAGGGGGTGCTTTTGGAAGCCATGTGTTAGACTTCTGTACCAGGTCTATCTCACAAATGAATCCAATGGGTCTGCAAACCCATCACTTTGTGATTTCCCAGTGCCTGAGGGTAAAGTAAATATACTTTGCACTGAATCCTAACATTGTTTCCCTAACCAGGAAAGGCCAATTGGAAGCTCCTAAATCTATTCTTCCCCCACTGTTCAACCCCCTCTGTCAAGTCATTAAATCAGAAGTGTAAGGCATGCTGTCAGGAATTGCAGAGACTGACATCACTGTGAAAGACTTAAAAGATATAGGTGTTATGGTTGCTATCATTTTCCCTTTCTTTGTCCCTGAATAGTTCCTGCAAAATCTGGATAGATCCTGGCCAATTGTGGACTCTTATATACTTAACCAGGTATTAATCCCAATTACATCTGCTCTCCTTTATGTGGTATCTTTACTGGTTCAGGTCAATACAGCTTCTTGCACTTGTGAAGCAGTTACTTATCTGGTAAATGCACACTTCTCAATCCCCATTAAAAGGGGAGATCAAAAGGTGATCCTGCTCGCCTTCACATGAGCAGGACAGCAGTATACATTCAGGCTCCTGCTCCAGGACTATCTAAGTACTTCTGCTTTTTATCACAGGCACTTCAGTCATGTTGGCAATTATCAGATCACCACGTGGCATCTTGCTAAATGAACATGGTGAGCAGAACGTAGCAAGTACTGTATATGTCCTAGTAAAAATATGTATGCCAAGAAAGGGAGAAAAATCCCATGAAGATTCAGGGACTTGCCACAGTGGTGACGTTTTTATAGATCCAGTGGTCTTCTAAGATAAAAAACAAAATGTTGCACTTCACACCTCCTACTACTAAGAGTGAGGCAGAGTAATTGTGTCCCTAGCAGTTCTGCCTTCTGGTGACAGATGAGATGGATCTTAAAAGTTACATCAGAGGCCCTCTGTATTTCAAAATACAGGAGTCTTATAATTTTCTTTTTGCAAGGCTTTCATTTATGATAATAGCAATATGGCCAATTCACAATTTTATGGTCATAATTGCTCCCAGGTTTTTCAAGTGCCACAGTGACTGCAGATACATTACCTTACCTTCCATCTCCACCTAACATCAATTAAATTCAGGTGAAATCCTTAGTACTTGTGATGCCACCAAGTGCAAGGGATTTCTACTCCACCTACCACCAATAATTTATGCTCTCTTGCTTTCAGATTAGTGAGTAATCTTGCACTAAAATCTCATCCTGAGGGGCTGCTTTCTAGGGTCACTCTTGGAGCCAACGGTGTGACACGCAGAATTCTAAGATGATTCCTAGTAACCCTTGTCTTTGTATAACCCACATTCCTTTGAGAGTTGGGGGAAAACCTGAGAACAGGTCATGTTATACGGCCAGAGGGATTTTGCAGAGCTAATTAAGGTTCCAAATCAGTTGACCTTAAGATAGGAAGATTATCCAGGTGTGCCTGACCTAATTATATGAACCTTCTAAGTCTGGGTATAGAGATCAGAATCAGGGGTCAGAGAGATTTGAAGCAGAATCATCTGACATGCTGTTGCTGGCTTTGCAGAGGGAGAGCGCCACATGGCAAGGAATGCAGATGGCCTGCAGTTGCTGGGAACAGCCCCCAGCCTACAGCCAGCAAAGAAATGGAGTCTGAGACCTACAATTGTGCGGAATTAAATTCTACTATAACCAGTTAAGCCTGGAAGAGGACTCTGAGCTCCTAATGAGAATGCAACTTGGTCTGCATCTTGATTTCTTCAGTCTTTTGAGAACCTGAACAATGAACCCAGCCATACTAGGGTGGACTTCTGACCTACAGACTGTGTCCTGAGAAATAGGTGTTGTTTTAAGTCACTCAATTTGTGGTAATTTGTTACACAGTAATAAAAACAGTTACAGAACTTGTGTTGCTTGGAAAGCAGAGCCTGAGGTTTATGTGTGTCTTGCCAGTGGGTTTCAGCCCCTGGCAAGTTCGCTATGGATTCAGTGAGACTGAGGAATGACAATGGAATGTTTTTGGAGTAAAAAGGTTTATTACCCAGCTTGTTCTCTGGGCAATAGGTCAAGCACTAGAATTCCGTCTGCATCCAACAGTCTGCAGGCCTGTAATCCTCCTTTGTCCCCGCCCCCGCAGCCATCTCAGTCTCTGTCCCCAGTGCTGCCACCACTCCATTCTCTGCTCTCCTGCAGCCGTGCAGCCGTGCAGCCATGCAGCCATCCAGAGCACTGGGTGGACCTCTTCACATAGAGTCAATAGAGATGTATTGCCCACACGTGTGTAGTGAGCAAGCTGACCAAGGCCAGGTGAGAATCCTGGCCACAGGAACCTTCACTGTCTCCACAACGTGCTACAATTTCATCACAGAATGCAATTCCCAGGTAGCAAGCAGGAATAAAGGAAAAGTGGAGTGAGGCAAAGGGAATACACCATGAGAGTATTTATTAAGAGTGTCTGAGTCCTTCATCTGGAGACACTGTTTATGGAGAAACATACAAACAGTTGCTTCTCAGGACAGTCCTCCTAGACAAGAAAGAGAATTTTTGAATTATTTCTCAGCTCCCATCATCCTTTGGCCAAAGCTTTGCCCCACTGGGCATTCATTCTTCTGTACTTCCTGCGTGTGCATGTTAGGCACAGACTGTGTCCTGTGGAGTCTCACACCTCAGCATCAACAGGAAAGTCACAGGCCAGGAAGTGAGAGACAAGGGTGAAGCGAGGTGCTATTGGTCTGCCCAAGTGGAGCTGGTTGAGTTTACGTACAGTTGGTTGCTTTTGAGCTGGAACAAGAGGTCAAAGGCCACAGAGGAAGGGCTGAGAGATGGAATCTGAAATGACATGTAAGAGGTGCATGACAGAGTAGGAGAAATCTCTTGGTGTCTTTTATGTGGAGAAAGTTGAAGAGGTGGTTAAAGTTTTATTATACTTTGCCCTGACCTAATACTTTCTTTGCAGAGACCACTAACTGCTGTTGCATAATCCATCAAAATGTTTGTTGTAAACAGGACGTCTAACCCTGCTGGAGCCTCTCCATAAAAATTGTTCTAGACCTTTCTGGGGAACTTTGATGTCCCAGAGCAAACTATTCACTCTCCATTCTGTTCTGAATGATCATGACAGTTTACTCTCAGCATCTGAATTTTTTCAAAACATGGTTTCTTATTTAAAGAAACCAAAACTAAGTTTGATCTGGAGAATGTCTGAAGAGATAGATACAGCCCTTTGATCTGTAAAGTGTTCTCCAAGAATAAACAGAGATTTGTAATATCAACCCTTCTGAAGTTCAGATTACGATAACTTTTGCCACTTAACTTTTAAGAGTTTCCAGGTTCCCCTTTAGTCTCTAGGCCCAGGAAAGAGATAAGATTTCTTCTGATGTTTTTTTATCATTACTGTTATTATCAGAGAAAGAACTTAGCCCAGACTTTCAGCAATTTTCCCCACTGTTGCCTTCTCGGCTAGAAGACTATCACATTTTCACCCATAGCAGCAAGAGAGGCTAGACAGTTAGTATCTGGCATTTCCACAGTCTATTCTAGGAGGAAAGTCCTGACCAGGTGAAGAAGCGGAAAGGAATAGCTGTTGGAAGGGCAACCTAGCAATTACATTTCCTTTTTTCGTATTTTCATCTTACCCATTACGTGCTGATTTTTACTAGGGTAACTCTCAGAGGGTGACATTACTTTTAAGTTCAAGGGGGTACTTTTCTTTCCCTCTAAACATTGATTAAGATAAGAGTCACAATTCTCAAATAGTTTTAAGTTTGAATCTTTATTGTATTCTGAGTTTGGACTTTTTGAGCTAAAGTCTCTATGGCCACTTGACACATTTGTTATTTATTTGATCGCTGAAGCATTTTGGCTTGCAAGTACTTGGAAAGAAATAGGCATTTATCCACTATAAGTGGGTAAATTGCATATAAGGGAATACACATTAATTTTTCAGAATAAATCTATTTCTCCAAGCTCCAAGCATTTCTAATCTTCTTTTCAATAGAAATCTTTCTAATGTATATCCCAAAGTCTACTGAACATAATTTAAACACATCTCTGAAATATGGGGCATGAGAATAACTGTCTTGTTTCCCATCGTTTGCGGGAGGATCTTAGGGATATTGACGGAAGGCAATCAACTGTGGTCTATCACCAGTGCTGCTGCGCTGGCATCTGTGGATCTTCTCACATTGCGTCTTCGTAGCTGCAGTGGCTTTAGGAAAAGGATCACTGAGCTTTAAGGAATTCTGCCTAAAATTAAAGTAAATGGTATTTGACTTGTGGATTCTTTGCCTCCCATTGCTGTCTGCCTAGGCAGCTGTCAAGTGAGATGTGATTGCATTTGATTTCACCTGGATGGTGAAAGGATCTCTTTAAGGAAGACCCAAGGGTGTGGGAAACTTCTGAGAATTTCAGCCAACATCCTATATTTCTAATAATATCCCCTCACTTGAAGGAGGCCTGGAAAAATTTTGTTGCAGCCAGTTAGTGGAAGAGCCTGGGAGTGAACTCCGGTCTTTGGTGTTTATTCCACGTATGCAGAGGTACTCTTTGGGCAGCCTGGCCTTCTGTGTCCACATCAAGTGGAGGCTCACAGGAGGCAGCTGGGACTTTGTCTTACAACATATTCAGAGCACCCTGAATGTACACACTGGGTGCTCTATAAAGACTGAATGCTTAAATAGTGTATTTTTTCTCAGTTTCCTGTTTTGTCTCTTCTTACTCCTACCACGTTCTTCAATATTGGCCTTTGCTGCAGGACAGAACGCAGGGAGCAGGGCTCAGGAGGGCACTTCGGAGCCTGGGGAGCAAACTCAGAACAGAGGGAGGAAGAGGCTGAAGAAGAGGATGTCAGTGAGGAAGGAGGTCTTGGAGCAAATAGGGGGTCGAAATATTTTTGTAGAGCAACCCCCATAGGAAAATACTGCCTTGCTGGGGTCATGGTTGGGTGAGAACGTTCTCCTGATTTTCTGTGTTTATACGCAGAAGAACTGCAGCTAGAGCTACGCTCCTGACCTTTCCTCACCCTTGCAGGAAAAACTCAGCACGCTCTGAGCGGCTTCTCCCTTTCCCTTTTACAGAGCCCCCAGGCTATTCTGCTCCCCCTTGTTTTAAGGGGCCTGCCCTTCAGGGCAAACGAGGCCCATGGTGGTCCAGCCGCATTTGTCTAAGTCTCAGTAAAGTCACACAAGCCTACTGTGACTACACACCAAAGCCATATTCTTCTATCCCCGCTCTTACCAGTTATCATATTGATGTTCTGATCTCCATCTGCTTGACCTCTGTGGCTCTATCTCAGATGGCTCCAAATGTGGGACAGGAAAATAAACTGCTATAGATTGACCCTCAAAGTCTCTCACTAGTATATTTTAGCTGCTAGCATTGATTTTTCCGAGAAGCTGGAATTTCTTGCTTTAAAACAGATATACAGTAATTATTACCACTTACTAAGAACATACATGTCAGGAACCATGCTAGATCCTTTGTATGTGTTATGTTGCTGAATCCTCCCAGAAATTCTAATAGGTAGGTACCATTATCATCTTGTCTTACAGATGAAGAAACAGTTTTAGAAAGTCAGGAATTTTTCACATGTTCAATATGACCAATAAGTAGTGGAACCAGTTTATGAACTCACTTTTACCAATTCCTAGTCATGCTCTTAGCCAGCAGCTTATAATATCTCCCATGGCTGTTCAAGCAAAGAACTGCAAGGAGGAGGAGAAAACCAGAGCATTTTAGAAGAAGGGAAGGCAATAGGGGCTAATACAGGGTATTCTCAAGCAAGAGAGTTTGTTTTCTAGAAAACACTGGCTCAATTTGTTTCATTTGAAGGAATACATTATCTGTAATAATTTTAAGGAAGAATATTCCATAAAAAAAACTGGTCATATATTCACTTCCAGAGAGCAGTCTAGATTTCAGAATGATTTTTTCCCCATGTATCTTCCCACATTTTTTTCCTCTCCATAGTCCTTTGTCTGATGTTAGCTCTCAGTAAAAAACACCTGCTAATTCATGCTAATTCTTTTGGACAGTTTTTAAAATCTTACTGTGGCCAAGTTTCTCTATTTTAAAATGTAGTAGGATTGCTAATATTGATTTCTCTACCTGGGTGTGGAAGATGAATTCTATAAAGTGTGTAGCATAATTTGAAGGCATATGATTAAGCACTATGCTTTTGTGTCTGTACAGACTCAAGTATTTTTACATTGCATATGCATTTAAATTTAAGGAATGTTTTCTATTTTTCTAACGGCGTCTCTAGAATATCTTAGAGCCAGTTGCATAATATGGAAAAGGGGAGTCTTCCAAACTAATCCCAACTCGAATTTCCCTTTCCCACGATTATGCACGATGCGGAGCATTTGTAATGATCTTTGCTGAGTCAGTCTCCGTGGGGGAGGGATCAGTTTCACCATTTCAAAACATCCTAGCAAAACTCCAGCCCATTCTCATGTGGTGACTTGTAAAGTAGGGTCGTTCCCAGCAGCCGGGAGGGCTGTACAGGCACAGGCAGGAGGCGAAGCGTCAGGCCTTGGGAAACTGATGGGCGCCGCCAAAGACGGACAAGGTGGGCAAACCTCACAGCAATTCACACCCTTGGAGAACATCCAGTAGGTACTAGCAAAGGATTAAAAAAAGAAAGAAACCCTTCTAGGTATAGGCTGAAGGATGGATAGAAACAGGCTAGGAGGATTGGTTTCTGAAGATTTGTACCCCTGCCTGGATTCTTGTTTTCTTTTTTTGTTGTTTGTTTGTTTGGAATCTTGTTTTCTTACTGCTTTGTTCAGTAAAGTATCCCAGCAGCCCATCCAGGCCCCCAGGATCATTCCGGAGAGCACCAATCAGCAGGAAGGGAGGCAGAGGAGGGCGAAGTCGCACCTCACTGCTGGGTTTGATG